AGTAATAAACTCTGCTATATCAGTTCTATCGGGAGGCGGTCCAAATATGACATACCCTATCCGACGAGAGACTTGTTCCCACCACGGCATATCTATCATAACATCCGGTGGAATGGTTGGCATATAACGCAGTCCGTTATCTAACGATGGACGGATAATTATAGCATATGCGTATGAAATCAAATAAACCAGACACATCCCATATAGGAGTACAAATATTACCTCATCCGGTAACGGATGATCTGAATTTGAGTACGATGAGAATAACCGATCAAATCCAACTATAATACAGATGGGGGTGATATAGTATGAGACCATGATAAATATATTTGAGGGGAATTCCATATATATGGCTGATCACACAAAATTGGCAATTGGAAAAGTTTTAAGGTATTACGCTCGATCGATATCTTCTTATTATGAGATACATATATAATTGTTGAGTCTTTTAACAATTCAACTACACATTTTGAAAGTTGAACACGTACAGGGTGTTGAAGCTTTCCAAGTCGATATAATAAGGAAATTCACAGATACTCATTGGAAACTTCTTTCCATTTGGGTAGTTTATTCGTAATACTTATTTCTTCGCATTTTTTGACAATAAAATCAGAATTAAGTTTGAATATATTGCTTAGTACATATGATTGATTAAGTTTGAATTATCAGGAATTCCGTTGGCACTCAGTCTTCACACAAAATCAAGCAATGTGACTTTACTAGATACTAAAATTTTGAGTGAGAGTGCAAATCATTGATAGGGCGGAATTAGAATGAGAAAGTCCAAGTTTGGCAAAATTCACTGTCTTTAATTTGCTTTAAACTTTGTATTTATTATTTATTGAGAAACTTACTATGTATGTATGAATTATGATAAACTTCAAATCCACTTCCGACTACTGAATAATGATTAAGTGATAAATGTGTATATAAAAAATTACATCATATCTTTATTAATTTGGTGTAAACGTGAATAACTTTAAATTATATGGGATAATAAAGTAGGTAAATGAATAACCTAAATATTACATGAATAACAAGGCATAAAAATATACTCCATAGTATAATAACTTAGAGATTACAACAGTTATATAAAAGAAATAATTGTCAAAAATCAAAATGTCAACTTGTACTCCAAAGGCTCTAACGTATGAAATGGAAAATGAGCACAACTATATATATATATATATATATATATATAGTGCAACACTATGCACTTTAATATTTCATAATATCAATATAATATTAAAATGCTTACATAAGTACCCAACATATGGATATAATCAAAACTCAATCAAAGGAGCATCTTGCGCTGGTTATATAGACTAGTCTTCTGTGCAAATTAGGCACCAATGAATATGAAAATAAAGTCTCTTTGCCGTGTCTTATGAGAGAAAGGACATAAATAAATAAAAGTATAATATTTAACTACATAAGTTCACAAAACTAATTTATAAACGCAAAGCTGGTTGCATGCTGATGAAGCCTTGTTAATTGTTATATACTATTATTATACTCTAATAAGATATAATGGATGACATGTTTTTTAATAAATTATTGTATTGGGATGGACTTATTAATAAATGAAAGTAGCAAACGTAATTTTATCTTATTTTTAATTTTCACCATATTCGTTTTCGTGTTTAACCTAGTTCTTTTAATAATCCACTGGTTATTAACAATTTAATAGAAGCATATTAGAAAAATAAATAAATTATACTTTTAGAAGGAAATTTATTTGATTAGTGATTACTTCAGGTAAGATTTTTGTTAATAGGCCTTCAAAATCAGAAGTAGGTTGAAGTCCATGTCAACATTACTTTGGAGTTCAACCCAAAAAAGCTAGAGAGATGGCTCGCTTATTGCATCGACACATTCATTTAATCGAATAGCGGCTGAATCATCCCATATATATTTTTCAATCGTAATAGAACTGGATATTTTCCAAAATATAGCATTATGACAAAAACAAAATATATGAGGGGGTCAATTAATATTTTCAATAAGCTAATGCACGAATACATGTTATATCAATATACAGATTGTATCAGGTTGAGATACAACATGCATCTACAATTTGTCCTCTCTCTTTCTAAACTCTCACTTGTCTCGCTCCTTTCTCAATTTCGCTTGCTTCTCTCCACTCGAAAATTGTAATCTGGCAAACTATAAGTAATATTCATAATCGAAGATTCAAACTGTAGCTATTTATGAAAAAATTCAATAACTAAACAATTGAAGAAATGTTCTCTTGGGTTGGACAGAACACCAGCAGAATCCTTTTAACGGCCCATTTGTTTTTCTACACCTTCACAGCTCATTTACTCATTATTCAATGATCCAATCCAATTTCTATCTAAGTCCACTATTTAAGCCCCATATATGTGGTAGGATAGCCTCTACCAAACTACACATACTAGATACAATTTGTTTTGGACACAAAATTTAAAACATTTTTTTTCTAATTATACATATCATATCGGACAAACTAGTACAGCTAAAGCTAAATTTACAGCTTCTTATGACATCAAATTTCAAAAAATTATTCTAAGCGTTTCTAAAGATGTAATAGTTTGTTTGAATATTTTAGAACAATACATTGATATTGATGGTAAATTGGATAAGAATGTGTGAATACTGAGTGTGTTTAGTATGACCAAACAATTTTTTTTGGTTTCTCACCGGGTGCTTGATATTTATATTAAAATTCGATTAAATTTAGATTCGCATCAAAAAAATTCACATCAGATAAACGCTTTCTAACAAAGGTGATTTCATAACTTGTGGAATTCGAACCCAGACTTAATGTTATTGACGGACGAGAGAGGAAATTCAAATAGACATTTTGTACGATTCAAAAGGCTGTTTTTATCTTTGAAGTTAAAAATATAAAAGCTGGCCTACTCCATGTGAAGAAGTAAATGACAATATGATTTTCAAGCATGAACATTGAGCTACCCCTTACCCACTTGGCAATCATGTTCCACTACGTACTTCAAGTAGGTCCCTTATAGATTTTACTTGATTTTGTGGTCTTTTATTGATGTCCTATTGAGTATTTTGTGTCTAGTATCAGTTTTGAGATTTGATTAATTTGAATTTGCATCAAAAAGTTAACTTCAAGAGATGAAAGTTTTAAAGAAGGACATTCCTTTTCCATTTTGATTTTTTTTTATAATGAAACATGATTAAATGTGTACTAGTGTAATTCACTTTTTCTTTTTCCTATTTTCATTTCTTTTTTTTTTGGTTTCCCACTTTATACTCAGGAGGATCTGATTAAATTCGAATTCGCATCGAGAAAAGCAAAGACATCTCGTAAAATCATTGGGACTTTAAATCTAATTAATGATGAAAGAGTACTTATTTTTCCACCACAATCTCGTTAGTTACTATTTTCATTTCACCCTAAGCTCCAACGGGAAAAGAAAGACGAAAGTACAACAATAAAGACAAAATTATACCACGCTTAAAAGGGGGGAAAATGAGAGTAGAATTAAAGAAAAGGTGTACAGAAATGCTAGATCCAATTTAATTGAACTATTTATTTAAGTATAATAATATGGGATGAAAACAAAGCAGCTTTTTAAAATATCCGAAAATGTATGTGGCTATTTATAAGTGGTCCAGATTCCAGAAAAGAATACCTGAAAAAATAAATTAAAAGCATATCACATGTAGAGTGACAAAAAACCTAAAAAGACAAATTATTTGTACTACTATATAATACCAGCTGTTAACTCTTGCCTCAAATGTACTACTAAAGAACTTATATAAGATTTTTATAATACCAAAATATATTTTTTTAAATTATGAATTCAAACTTAATATATTTTAAAAGTCCTAGTAAAATCTTTACATGTGCATGATTATTTCCTGCATTGAGAATACACAATTATGATGAATCCGAAATCAAATATTTGCTTATGATATCATATATAATAATGCCTTACATCGAAAATATTGAATTAGGATGAGCTCATTATAAGAAGAGGATAACCTTTGCCTATAACCCTAGTTGATGTGAATATTTAATAATTTAATAAAGAAATATTTCTTACATGACACAAACTATAGGAGAATAAATTATTTGATGATATAATAATTTTAATATACTAGAGTTAGAGATATATTTTACGTAATTAAGTTAGTTTAACTTTGTGCCATCACGTACAAATGATTATTTAGATAGTGGCATCGCCAATCATTGTACTAGAGAGGGAATCTTTGTTTACTAGGGTTTCTATGGGCAATAATTCGTCAAAAATGGTCACGGTTACTTTTTGTGGCCAGTCAAACTGTCAAAGTGTACAACGATCATCATATGATGACCTAAAATATTAGTAAGAGTTTTAAGTTATATGACTGATGCATATAAATTATTTATATAATTAGATCACTTATAACTTATAATCAAGATAATAATGTAATATATTATAAAATATTGATTATTTTTTTTAAAATTTTACGTGACATGAATCCAAATTAATAAAACATTAAATCAGTATCAAATTGGAGATGCAAAACTAGAAACTTAGATAAACATAGTATTTAAGAGGGTCCCTTATGTTCTCTATAAATAAGGTAATATGCCATAAAGGCACTTTGATATAAGATAATCATTGACATTTTCTTGATGCTAAGATAATAGACATAATTTAATAGGACCCTATGTTTTTCTAACTGACGCATCGTATAAACCCACTTTAGAGTGATCATTGACATTTTCTCCAAACATATTGCTAAGAAATGACATGCGGACATATTATTGATTATTAAGCTACATCCTTGCGTTTATATTAATAGCTTTTTGACGTTTGCAATTATATATACCTGTTGAATAAAAAAATTGAAATCAAGACAATAAAAATAGGTGCAATATTTCTGAAAAAATCAAAATACCTTATTTACCACGAGCAAAATAAAGAAAATAAATAGCAAAAGTCGTCCGAATACAGAAAGTACAAATTCAACGGTGCCCATTAAACACAGACACAAACAAACAAAGAAGTTTACAAAGAGAAAATTAAAATTAAACAACAAGTTGATAAAATGTCACATTACTTAAAAATCTCCACTTGGGATTTGCTCATGAGTGTGGCTAATGAAGATGAATTCATAGATAAATCCAGCAAGCCCACCACCAATAAGTGGTCCAGCCCAGTAAACCCATTGGTGAGTCCAGGTCCAGCTAACCAAAGATGGGCCAAATGACACAGCTGGGTTCATTGAAGCTCCAGTAAAGGCTCCACCAGCTAGAATGTTGGCACCAACAATGAAACCAATTGCAATTGGTGCAATCACTCCCAAATCTCCCTTCTTTGGGTCAACTGCAGTTGCGTAAACAGTGTAAACGAGACCGAACGTCATCACTATCTCGAATACAAATGCGTTCCATACTGATACACCGGCTGACAATGCAAATGATCCAGTGCTCTACATAGATTTTTAACCATCACAATTATTAGTATCGTACAAATATTAAGAAATGTGTAACATAGGAATATTTTTTTTAATATTCAAAGCTAACTACCGGACATGATAATGTTAGGTGGAGTAATTAAATTGGCTTTCATAAATAGTATGCTAGATTAATTGCTTTAAATAAAGTCACCATCATATTACTATCTTACATAATGAGTGGACAATAAGTCCCTTTCAAAAGAGATATAAAAAGATTTCTAACCAATCAATTATGAGTTTCAAATTTATGCATTATAAAATAATCTGATGTGTGTCACAACAACGACTAGAACCTTCTCAAAGATAAAAGACTTTTGGCACAAGCCAAAACTCTAAAACTGTCATTTTCTCTATTTAAGATATACTTAATTTTAATGGTATAAATGTATAGTTTAATGTATTCTACTAATTCCACTAGTTCATAATAGTATTAGTTTTTGTTTTACAAGCTAGGCAAAATTTTCATGGAAAAAAAAGTACTCCATATAGTAATACAGGAGTAATTTTTTTAAAAGGTCATAATATTTCATTTTATGGTATAAAAGTTTTTTTTTGGTCATTTTTTTGCATTTCTCATCTGGTGTTAAATCCACATAAAAGCCCCACTAAATCTAAGTTTATTAAAAAAATTCACATTAAAGAGTAAAACATTTTCTAACAAAAGCCAAAATAACTTAAACCCAACTTTGTTGTCATTCCATAACAACCTCATACTTCAAAATTCTACCGTTCATTATCCGTTTTAAGATAAAATAAAAAGCAAAAATAATAATATATGTATACTTTTTAGATCTGACACAAGTCAGCATTAGAAAGTAAATGACCATACTCTCCCTATTGACACTAAAAAATAGCCACGTGTATAATTTTCCTTCACTACTTTTTCAGAAAGGTGGAACGAATGGATATACTTCCTAGTAGATCTGCAAAAGCTAGATATTACATCTCACATTGTTACACATGGTATGTTGTGGTTTGTACTTCATACTGTCACACATGTAGAGTAAATGACTATACAGTCCCTATTGACGCTAAATATGTAAGAGTCAAACATAATTAAATGTTAAGCCTAAAGTCATACGAAATTAAATCCAATAATAATACAACTAAATATTTAGTGACATATGTACATTATTTGGACTCTTAAAAAGGTCAGTCACAAGTTACCTGTTTTTTTTTAGCATATGATATATAGACTATAAGTATAACAACTGAAATTCAACTATAAGATTAAATAATATATTGATACTCACACTTAAATTTTCTATAATTCGAGTCAAATTAAAATAAGACCAAACAAATTAAAACGTCGAAAATATGCTTACCATGCCACCAGTGGCGAATTCAAGGAGAGCGCAAGCAGCAGTGGATCCAAGCAACTGTGCAATGATGTACAAAATCCCACGGAACAAAGTGATGTTTCCACCAACAAAAGCACCGAAGGTAACAGCCGGGTTGACGTGGCCGCCGGAGATGTTAGCACCGACAGAGACGGCCACGAACAACCCGAAGGCGTGCGCAATGGAGGCGGAAATAAGGCCAGCGGGAGTAGCGACACCGTCGGTAAGCTTATTGAAAGCCATACCAGAACCCTGACCTGCGAAAACGAAGATCAGAGTACTGATGAACTCCGCCAAGGCCGCTTTAAGCGCCCCTGGATGGCGGAGTTCCTCATGGCTTCCAATAGTAATTTGGTTGATCGGCATTTTACCAGAAAATTAACAATTGAAAATTTTCTCTAGTGTTACTATTAAGGGGCAAGTTGGACAGTGATGAAATTATGGAAAATTTTGCATGGATTTATATTGTGAAATTTGTAAATTGCATGAGGGACTAGGTTCCGGGTAAAGCAGGTAACCGGTTAATATTTGGACCATATGTAATAAGATTCAAACCAAAATTTGTGGGCGAGCGGTCCCGTAGAGGTCGAAAGGCCTGCATTGACAGCTAAGAATTCACCTCCAATTTGATGTGGTGATGACACGTGGAAATGACGACAACGAGCCACGTCATATAGGTTCTGTTTGATAAAGACATAAACGATGGGAGTACTGTATACCCCACACCCCTACCCACCCCCTTGTTATTGCTTTCGGTCGGAGCAATCATGCACCGTGGAATGATCTGGAACTAGAGCTTTTAAATATTTTTTTAATCTGTTATTAAAGAATTAATTGATTTGTTTTAAAATGGCAATTATTGCTCAGTGTTAATCACTAACTTTTTGTGGTGGAACTGTTAATTTTTTTTTAAAAAATTGAGGTACGTGTATGTATTTGTTTTATTCTTTTTTGGTTTCTATGGAGTGCCCGCATATATTATATTGGAGTATTAATTCGGATTCGTGTCGAATAGTGACCTATTAGAGGGATAGTGCTTCATATTAAAGAATTTTCATACTTAAGATTTAGATCTGGAATCTCTGATTATAAAGGAGCAGCATCGTCCACAACATCATATTCTCTAGTAATTTTGAGATACGTGTATAATTGTAAATGACTGCAATAAAGGATTCTAAATTTATATTTATATAAGAAAAAGAAATTGAAGCATTGAAGAAGAAAGTTAAATTTTACAATTTTATTAATGGATTAGGTCATCAATATAGCAATAATGCACCATACTGGAGTGATCTGGAACTAGCTAGGGTTCTTAATCTTTCATTCTAGATTTTTCGTTTCTTCTATTAGATGCCAATTATTTCTCCGGTTAAATCACAAGTCAAGTTTCATTTGTTATGTTTGTATGGTGTTCGAGTTAGTTTGTATAAATTTCGATTAATTTTATATAGTATATACTATATCTTATCAATACAGTCATCAATAATTATATTTATCAAGGCCTGAATAAAAAAAAGCAATGCCTTAATAGTTGTCTTAGTTGAACTTTATAATTTATTTTTCTCTGCTAGGTCAAGCCGTTGAGAGCGAGGTTTATAAATTACAAACTTTTGTGGTAGGATTATAAACTTTTAATTGTTTTTGAAGTTTTTGTGGTACATGTACCACTGTAAATGATTACAATAAAGGCTTATAAATTATATAATAAAGAATTATTATTATTTTTAGAAAAAAGGAAAGAAGCAGAGAGGTGTAATTATAAAAAAATCGGAATCGATTAGATCGATGGAAAGAAATGACAAAAAAGGTATAGAGATATGATATCTTTTGGTATATAATAATAATGAAGGTAATGACTCTAATCATGAAAATTGTGATAAGATAAATAGATACTTTTATTTTTAATTAAAGATTTTGAGGTTAAATTTTAAATATGAAAAAATTGTTAAGAAATACAAAGTGACAAGCCTTGCTCGAAATGAATTCATATTGATTAAAATTTTAATGCAGATATCAATTATCGAGTAGAAGAAAAAGGGATAGTAATGACTCTAGAGTGGGGTTTGGTACATTTAAATATGAGTTCGATGAGGAGTTTCCGATAAGGTATGCCGACCTTTTCTGTTTGGCCAATAATTAAATTATTAATCTGAAAAACGTGCACATTATTTTTCCCTCCAGAAAGATGTACATCTTTACTGTTCCTTTTAATTGATTATACTCCATATACAACTGTTGCTTTGACAACTAAGCTGTAATTATTATATTTTTTTATATATATAAATTAAAAGTACTCCCAATATGTAGTTGATATCGACCTTTTGTCACGATTTGATTTGTAAGTGAATTTTGAATTTGAATTTCAAAATATATTGATTTATATTATGTACTTTTCAAAATAATAGTCCATATATTTTATTCGAGTAGGGAATTTATTGAAAAAAATCTCTTTATCTTCATATAAAAAGGATAAAATTACATGAACACCATTTTCTCAAACTAAACATATTATTGTTATTGTTAAAATCTCTTTTATTGAAATAGTTCATTTTAGAGGACGCTTCATAAAGCAAATAATCTCGGAAAACTCAAAGAAATATAATATACACAAGCTCATTTAATTTGTTTCTACGAAAGATGCCCATAAAATTCGTATCTTTATCAATCTCTTTTTGTCTTTATGATCTCTTATTATATAACAAGAGATCAAAGAATAAGAAATTAAAAGGTGTAATACAAGTGGTCCACATAGTTGTTGTGTCCATTTCCTTCTTAGTCGATGGAGCAAAACAAAATTTATATTTTTATTATTAAGTAGATAATAGTACATTTTAGATAATCGAAAGCAGGTCTTTTCGAATAGATAATCCAAATTGAAAATAATTTACATAATTAGCCAAACTAATCCACAAATATTGTAGATTGTAAACTTTGGTAGTAGGTACTAATTAATCTCCGTTAGTCATGGATTCCATCATAATATACATAACCACCCTATTAATTTAATTATTGTATACAATTTATATTATGTGACATAGACATAGAGGCCCTCCAAAAATAATGAGTAGTTCTTGTTATTCAGCTGGCTTTAAATTGTTTCAAATGTTAAAAGGAAAAAATTGTTTTCAAGGTTTTTTTTTCTTCTAAGAAACATGAATATTTTATTGATAATAGTATGCGGTACAATTTTCTTGATCCCTTGATTCTTCTCTCATAATATATTTATCCATAATTCGAGGGCCGTTTGTGGCGTATTTCTTGACTCAGGATGATTTGGACTTGATCTACATAATTTGAGGGTCGTTATTGGCGTATTTCTCAAGTTAGGATGATTTGGACTTGATCTATATAATTTGAGGGCCGTTAGTGGCGTATTTCTCAAACTAAGATGATTTGAACTTGATCTACCTAATTTGAGGGACGTTAGTGGCATATTTCTCAAACTAGGATGATTTCGATTTGATATTCATAATTCTAGGACCGTGACGTATTTCTCAAATTAAGATGATTTGTATTTGATCTCTTTATGAATATTCCATGAATTTGTGGATACAGTACAACGTACACAATAACCCAACAAAGTCTACAAAAAAAAATTATAAAGTATTTTAGTTACAAAGTTAAGCCATTATAATATGTATATAATCAACGTATATACATTATATTCTAATTATACACTTGCCATGTACTGAGTATATATCGACAACAACCACAAATAATTATGACTAGACGAGTAAAAAGAATTCCAGCTGCATGGCCAAAAATGTCAATATTCCTAAATTTTTTTGCAGTCACTAATGAAGCAAATGCATACGTTATGTATGTTTTACCTAATTTTTAAGAAAATGAGTGTTTTATTAAAAAATAGTTTTGGTCAGAAAATGATTTGGGTTTTGTTTTCAATTCGAAAGCAATTTTTCAAAAATAATCTTTACAAAATATAGTGTTTTCTATTAAATGATTTGAGTTTTGCTTTAAAAAATAATCTTTACCCAAATCACTATATAGATACACTTTATTTCAGCTTGCATACACCCTTCTTCACAACTTTATTGTATCAGATACATTATTATCAACTACAAAATGATACATTATATAAAAATGTATCTTATCAATTTGAAATCTTCCACATTTGCATATCTATCTTTCAAGTCAAACAATGTATCTTCTTCCAGAATTATAGACTGAATAAAGATACTCAGATAATGCAACAACCTATTAACATTAAAAATATTAGTGATACATTCTATAATACAATTATTTCTATGTATCTATCACAAGCAATCAAAAACTAACTTATACTTAATATCAGGTACAAAATATATATATAATCTAATACATACCCTCATTCTTGAACATTTTGATACTTTTACAACAAATTACATGTATAATAGTATTTCACAAACACAATAAGATACAAAAATAGCAATGTATCATGCTAAATATTTGGTCATGATACAATAATTTAAATTAATACTACATGAATCACACAGTAATGTGTCAAACTCTAAGCAAACACTTTACGTGCAAAATTTACTTATTCAATTCAATATTCTCTTTCCTTTAAAAGTGTAATTGCTTTGTTTTAATGTATCGAATTTAATGTATCCGGCTTCTTTGCTATGTATCCGGATAGCACTGATTTTGAGGGATTTTCGTAAATTGAGAAAAAGTAGGGATAGAATGTATTTTAGGTCCTTAGACTATGGGATTTATGTAAGTTATACATCACTATATTTTTCAAAAAAAAAAAAATACTTTTAGGCAAAAATTATTTTTGTTTTAGCTTCTTAATTAAAACAGTTTTTGCTACTCTCAAACTACTCGACCAAACATCTCATTTTATTAAAAATAAGCACTTTCGGTCCGTCAAAAACTAGCCTGTTTAGCCAAGCTTATTTGAAAGAAGTACACTTAAAAGTTGTTCTAAAAAGCTTATTCAAACACTAATTATTGCTCAAAAGTGCTTTTAAAATTATCAATCAAACACAAACTATTTCTCATAAAGAATACGTTTTTTGAAAAACACTTTTAGAAAATATATTTTTCAAAATAAACTGGTATAAAAAAAATTTGACCAAACAGACTATAATGGTCAAACAAGCTATTCAATTCATCCAAAAGCCAAAACTTATTTAAATGAAAACTGAACAATAGGTACTCCTCCAAATCACTCTATTTCCCAAATTTTCTAATGAGTTGTTCAGAAACAAAAAAAATATAAAATAGAAGCAGAATTAAAATAAGTGCCAAAGAAGTGGACAAGTCATGCAAAATATAACATGCACATTTCTGATTTATGGGGCCTTTACCAAACTGTCATTGAAATGTAGGGTTGGAATTTTCATTATTGTCCTCCCAATCCCCTCTTCACAACATGACCCACCTAAAAAGATATTTTTTTTATAAAAGAGAAAAATTAATTTATTTTTAAGAAGTTATGGAAAGTAATACCTTCATTGAAACAGTGCATACCCTACATGATCCAGTATTAATGGAAAGGCAGGCTGGATGATTCCTATTACCATGTGACTACCTTACAAAATGGGATTGGGGAAAGGGGCAGATATCTACAACTACCATTTCTCACATCACATGTTAATGCTCATTTTATTTTTATTTTTTAAATATTTATAACAGTGATGTGCAGATCAAAATGGAAAGCGTTTATATTATTGTATCTCGCGCATGTATCAGCACTTATATAGCTCTGATACATTAATCTGATGTGTGAGATACAATAATATAAGCGTTGATATATTAATCTGATGCGCAAGATACAATAATATAAGCGCTGATACATTAATATGATGCGCGAAAATGAGGGATTTTGGAAATTTGTAAAACTTTTAGGGGATAATGGAAATAAGTAAATTAAAAGGTGGAATTTCTGTAATTTTTCCATTACTTAATCATCACCTTGGATGTACATGTTAGGTTGAGTTGAGCCACACTGTTTGCTGCCCTTCTGAAAATGCAATTGCCAGACTTCTAATGAAATTATTTCCCAATTTTCTACAAACATATTGTATGTTTGAAGCTATTTTACATGTATACAAACATTACAGACTCCACAGTTTGTGAAAACATCAAATAGGTGTTTTATTTGAACTCTCATTTCATTTTTCAAAACAAGTTGAAACCTCATGACACAAGACCATTAATTTATACTAAAAATTACTCGTCAGACAAGGCTTTCAAATGTTAAAGTTCAAAAAATTAGTCAAACTAGTACTCCAAATAACGAGTACATAACAGTTATATGTTATGTACAATATCAATTTCAGTTGCACCATTATCGTTGCGTAAGAAACAATATACACTCCATTTTCAAAAAAGTCACGTAGATTACATGTAATAGGCTATAGCTATTACCCAGCTATAAGTTTCCAACTCTCCCACAGGTTAAAAAAAAACGCGTAAAAATTAAAATGTAGGTTCTGAATAAAAACCTCAAATTACGTAGCCTTACCATCCATCTAGATATTATATGGAAGCCATAACGCTGTAATCAACATCGTTTAATTAACTTGTAATGGAATTTAATCACCCTGCAAAATTAGAGCTCTACAAGCAGGTCATAATCCTAATATTTTCACCTCACGCCACTGTGTTTTTTCTTTCTTACAAGCGTTTGTAACCGCAGTACAGCTTCATGTATATATAGGTCTCTGATTGTTTAGAGATCCATTCTTAAAAGAATTCCCAAGAGCGGTTCTACATATGGTGAATTCTCTTCCCCTTTAGTTATTATAGTTGAACCCAAAGAAAAAGCCCGAGATAATCGGATTCCCAGTGTTGAATAGACATCGCGCAGTGATCCCAGTATTTCAACTGCAAAAGAAATTAAGAGAAAATTACTTACTACAACTGGTTTTCCTTCTTATGACAGCGGATTTAACTCAAAAGCATGCATGGTAACGAATGAAAGCTTTTATATTGTCAAAGGGAAGTACAGAGATAAGACAACTACAGTATCACATTCCCCATAAAACTGAAAAAAGCAAGCCACAAGCGGCCCGATGATTAGCTCCTTAGCTTAGTAGTTACAGTAGGCAGTAATATCAGTTACTAAGTAGATGGTTTAATGACATCAAACTGCTTGCTTCACATTAGTGAAAAGTTACAGAGCCGCCAAATTAAAATTGCCTGTTATGCTCGCTGGGGCTCTTTGATATGTTTGGTATTCAGCAATCTTGTACGAAGTTTTACCATAGCTAATCATTCAATGGAAGGAATAAACCAACCTAAACTCTCACAAGGAAAGTAAATTCAACAAATATATATTAATTCTTTTAAAATAAAAAGAAAGAATGTCGACTAAATTAAAATTTCAATCTGATGACATGAAAGAAGGATAACTATATGTTTAAGCTTTAGGTAACCATCCTATAGGAGTGTGTGACTAAGGCTCTTTAATTGTTACTTTATATTGTAGATTTCATGATAAGAATATAAGTTTATTTCAGTCTCTCAATGAGCTAGGACTCGGCTATGTAACATGATATTTGGTAGACCATCGAATATCTTACCCATTTGATATGGGTGCGTATATGCAAGGCAAAGTGAAGAGTTCATAGAACTGACTTAAAGCAACCAACAAATGAAGAATTAGTGGTTTCCTAACCTAAGAATCTAAAACACACAATTTTCGACTTAACTACCAAACCCACATTTTAAAAATTCATGCACACTCTAACCCAGCTCCCCTACTCCCTCACCTCCCGCCTGCCACACCTAGGGATTACTCTACCTTAAGGAAATATTCTCCTTTGAAGTACAAATATCTCTTGGCTATCGTTTACCTTTTTTAATCATATCAAAAATTAATTTTTCATGTTTATGAAAAAAATGCTTATTTTATTCCCAATTGCATGCAGTATACTATTTCTTTTTTGTCTGATAAGTAATTTATTGTACAACACTATTACTAATTGAACCTAACTATATCTCAAGCCAAACTGGTGATTTGTTGTATACACACCATTTTGGAATAAACGTTGCCAGACCACTTGGTACTGCCATGCAGGCGTCTTCTTATCAGCAGACTTCAGTCTAAATTCCAATCCCCTTAATCCCATGATTTATGGACTGAATAAAATATAGGGTTAATAGTACTTTTGGCCCCTCAATAATTAATAAATTCTAATTTTAGTGTTTGTGATATTTGACAAAGCACTTTTTTTTAATAACTGTGGTGTCCGGGCCAACTTTCACTTACCTTGACTAATTCAACGGGATACCTGTCACCTCCCACCAACAACAGATACCAGGCCTTTGTCCACTAAGGCTATGACAAATGGGAAGGATCACCTAGTGTTTTTGTCTCTGAGCCTGAGACCTCATGTTCTCAACTCACTTAGTAACCACTACGCCACACCCTTGGGTGCATATTTGACAAAGCACATTAAACCTTCAATTAATGTGCATTTTTTTATACGTTTGATTGTGATCACAATGTATGGAATTATTAATCATTCCACCATTAAATCGTCCATGTGTTGCATTAGGTTTGTAATGTTATTCCATATTTGAAGGTAATATAGTTCTTAAAATAGTTAATATAACAAAGCTCCTATTTAAAAGAAACCAAAAGAACACATTTTAATTAATTGAAGGTTAAATGTGTTGTCATATATCACAAGGACCAAAATAAGAATTTATCAATAACCAAGGAATCAAAAATGTTATTATCCCTAAAAATTAAATGCAATATGATAACACTAAGCAGAATTGTAAAAACCCCTAAAATTTCATATTGCATTTGTTTGATACACATCTTTAAAGGATGAAAAAGTGCATACCAAAAAGTTCCAAAGCACACCTCCCGCTAATGATGAACCAGCTTATCACCAGGTCTGCCAAGAGATAACATAATAAACCCACCTGAGCACAAAAAAGACACAATTCGGTGTCATATGAATTACCTTCCACGGGCACTCCTGCCATGAGAAAGATAAGAGTAATCAGCCGCAGTGCCTCACCCAAGTGGAGGAAACTTTCTCCTCTCTTCCCATGTATTTGGGGAATTGCCTTCCCAGCTTTACAACGAATAAAACTTAGATGGTTATCCTGCAAGCATCTAACAACAAAAGGAAACAATAAAATACTAAGTTAAGACCTTTAAAGTTCAGACAATTTCATGCAAGTGGTGTCCCCAGAAACAAATGACCAGGTATTTGCCGTTAGCCCAGTGTTTTGGGAAGCGAGAAGCGGAAAAAAGCGACGAGGGCTCGCTTCACAGAAGCGAGAAGCGAGAAGCGAAGCGCGCGCTTTTTTTAAGTAAAGCGATATTTAGTATAAAAATAAAAAAATATTAAATAACTGAATAGAGGTAATATATTCTTAGATTAAAAGTAAATAGATAGTCAATAATACTCATAAGTCATAACATATAAAGCAAAAAATCAAAAACATAATTAAATCACAAAAGAATCAAACTCCTATTCTTCAACAAGATCCTCAAACTCTTCAAGTGGAAAGAAAACAGAGCAGCAAAAGAATTGGAAAAAACAGAGCAGTAATATTAATTGAAAAAAAAAGCAGGTCAGTAATAGAGATTGAAAAACAGAGCAGCAAACAGAAATTGGAAAAAAAAAATGCAGCAATAAAAATATAGATAACACCCAGCAGCAACCAAAAAAAAAAAAAGCAGTAGCAGCAGCCTCAAAGAGAAGAAGAGAAGGAGGAGAAGAAGAAGAAGAAGAAGAGAACTTACAGCAGTGGCAACCTGGCAGCAACCAAAAATAGAAAAAAAATCGCAGATCAGTTGCAAAGAAGAAGAGAAGAAGAAAACTTACGCAGCAGAGAAGAAGAAGGAGAAGAGCAGTCGCAGCAGAGAAGAAGAAGGAGAACTCATGCAGCAGAGAAGAAGAAGGAGAACTCATGCAGCAGAGAAGAAGAAGGAAAAGAGCAGTCCAAAAAAGAATTTGAAGTCGCAAAGAGTATATTAAGTCGCATAAGGATTTCAGCAATTAAAAAAAAAAAAAAAACTTACAATTTTAAAAAAAGAAACCCTAAACTGTTACCTTGTCAAAAAAAAAAAAAAAAAAAAACCCTAATTTGCGCTTTTTCAAATTAAGCGCGCTTTTTTTACGCTTTTGCTTTTCTGCGCTTCTCGCTTCTACAGTAGAAGCGAGCGCCTTTTCAATGTCGCCTCGCTTCACGAAATAAAAGCGCAAGGGCCTCGCCTCGCCTCGCTTCTCGCTTTAAGCGCGCTTTTTTGCGCTTTTTACAACACTGCGTTAGCCATTACTCCCTTGAAAGCTCTTGAAGTTGCATCAATTTCAATCAATATTACTCAGCTAGGACTCAATACCAAACTAGTTGCTGTCGACAACATGAATCCTCTATGTCCGTTCCGCTCTATCCAGGCCCATTTCATCCACTAGTAAATGATTTGTATATAGTAATATTTTTTTACAGATCAAAGAAGATTTTACGTTTTTAACGATGACTACTATACGTAATATCTTTTACAGCTCTATGTTCCATCATATTTAATTTATTACGAATATCAAAATAAGATGAGTCCTTGGTCCTTAACACTATATAAAGTGTACAATTCAAAATGTAATAGAATACACCAACATGCATTTAACACACTTACGTCAATTATTAAACACCATTATTTAAGAAAGGTGAATTATAGTTCTTCCTTTTAAGTTTCTAAAAGCTGCAGCAAAAGATGCTTTTTCCGTCTTGCCCTTCTGTGACCGCAATCATGAAATCTCATCCTATAAAAAGCAAAACTGAAACATGCTTGATCAAATGCTTACCTGACGGCAGAGAACTGTCCAAGAATTGCTGCTCAAGATGCTTAGTAAAATTCAGTCAAGTCAGCACCATCTAGATTAGACCTCATCCATTGGACTATATGAAAAGCTCCTCATGAATGCTATCCTTGGATACAAACTGCAATGTTGTGCCTTTGGTTATCCAGGCAGTGAGTTCAGGCTGCTGTTCAAAAGGCATGAGAGGATGGAGGCTTCCATTTTCCAGCTGTACACCATAAATAAAAGGCAGTCTAAGTGACAGAAAACTCTCTGGGGGTAAAATTACTCGACATCCCAGACAAAACTGCAACTTCTTTTTACGGTCTGGCACAGATGGAGGGAGACATGACTCCTACAAAATCAAAATAGCAAAAATATAAGCAATTGAGAGAATAATTTGAAAGCTTATTTCCAAAGATGCACCAACAAGAAAACAACACAAATAACATCTAAAAAGATGCTTGAAGATATAACAAAGTACAAGTAGTCAACCATCCCACTGAATGGGGATCCAATGGGAGACTCCCTCCAACAATGGCAACTACATTGAGAAAGGAGAAGCTAAAAACCTTTCTGTCTTCTTGTAGTTTATATTGAGGTGAGTGCTGAAGATGTAATAAAGCAATAAAAATGCACTTTCTCTAACAGCTTAAGCTTTTAGATGAGGTGTCACACAATTCAACATAGTTCAATGTCAGCACTCACTTGGGCTCAAGTTTCACTGCCACCAATTATCAGAAAAAGAAAATCCATATGCTTGGCCCATGAAAAAGAATCAAGACAGCACACGAGGAGTGTTTTAAAGATATAATAATGTAATAAAGTGTGTTCTCTCTAAAAGTTTAGATTAGAGAAGAGGTGGCTACAAAAATTCAACAATAAGATCCAGATAGATCCTAACATTGTTGGTAAGCACTTCAACCACCTGCTTCATCTGTGAAATATTCAGGAAGTTCACTTCACTCTTTGGCAGCTAGATACGTCAGTAAAAGAAGAATGCAACTACGCAAGGATGTTACTGCTTACTACACTGAATGTTAGTACCCTTTTAGTCTACCAACAATTTTATGCATGGAAATTAAATCAGTAGCTATTAATTATGTTTTTCTGTTTTCTCTGTAATAGGTTCTGTAACAGTGTTTTCCTGTAGCAGTTGTTTTCTCTGTAGTAGTAGTTATTAGAAGTCTGTAACAGTGTTTTCCTGTAGCAGTTGTTTTCTCTGTAGTAGTAGTTATTAGCAGTAAGGAGGTTATTTTTCCACTTTCTCATTTCAGTAGTAGTGGGAAGTTATTTCCTTGTTATTAGGTGGGTGGTTAATCACCAATGTTGTATTTAAGTTATTTGAATTCAATGGAAAAGGGGAGCAGAAAATTAGTCAAGTTTTTGAGTACTTCAAACTCAAGAGATCGCAGGTTCTCTCTTAACGAACCAGCACCATAGGTAGAAAAAAGAAAACTTCAGAATTTATCTTGCAGCGTCCCATAACTAGATCCATAACCGGGGACCATATCACTGAAATAGCAGTTATAGTAATAGCTTTGAGGGAATATGTTTTGAGATTGATAAAAGCAAAATGTGTTCTCAAGTTTGAACTCGAAAACTCAACTTCAGGAACATGCTTGACCTTACACAAAGTAAACACGTTCTCCTGGAGTTCAACCATGAAAAAAAAATAAAAAATTTAACACTCAAGTTTCCAATAGTCTCTCGGAACAACAACACATTACCAAAATAGGCTAGAAAGCAAAATAATGGTAGCAAAGTGGCAAGATAAACACAACCAATGAACAACAAGTAACAATAGAAACCGAAGTAAAAATACTATGCAAGTACCATATATACATATTAGGGAAAATCTTCTATGTAAATACATCAAAAGGCGCACCCAATACCTTCAAAACCATTTAGAAAAAAGGAGACAAATTACTATCATGAATTATGATACATAAATTGTGATACATAGATTGTGAGTTTGTAACACCATTCTTCCAAGTTTTCCTCTAAGGAAACTTGAAGTTACAAATCATTACAACTTCTTACTATATAATACTATCGTGATCTTTTTTTATTTACTAAAATGGGGCACCTTATTTTTAGGGTATTTTTGCCATTTTAGGTGCTCTTACCCTGTTACCCAATATTCATTCTTATTCCCCTTTTATCCCACATAAATAATACATACATTAAAGAAATGATACCAAACAATTTATGAATATTGCACAGTTTTTTCTATGAAGAAGAACCAAAGGTTATACAAGTAGTGTAAAATCCCGAGATCATAAATGATCCCAAAGCGGCTTCATAGAACTAGGTGGACAAAGATAAGTTGATTCAATGCAGAAAATGGTAATGAAAACCAAAAGTTCCAGTAAGTCACTCATACCTCAAACTGTATGACTGGGTTTGCTGCTAAAATGATAGGGAAGTGAGGTGTAACCTGCATGACAAAGAGCATACTCATTACAACTGACAAAGAAAGTATATTTTATTTTTCGGGATTCACAAAGATTATGGATTACCTATCAAAGAATACAAAGATTATAGATTATGTATATTTATTACCATCCACTTTTACCTTTATTTAATCTATAATCTTTTTTTTTTTTTTGGTCTTCAAAAAAAGATTATAGATTAAATAAAGGTAAAAGTGGATGGTAATAAATATACAACTTGAATGTCAGGTATACAAGTACCAACGGGACATGAAACATACAACAAATTTGCAGTTCAATTTTGAGAAGTGTAACCATCAAAATAATTTCTTTAACAATTTAACTTTCAGAAATATGGAAGGAGACCATACGAGTTGAGAAATATGCAGAAGAGGTACTAATTTCTACAATATGTTATTTGCAAGTAACCCACTTCTCCAGTTACCCACAATTTCAATGTACTAGCTAACATGTCACATTTCACTGTATTTCACTAGAAATAGGTCCTTTAAACAGAAAATATTAAACAGTATCCTACTATAAGTTGAATAGAGAAGACCAACAGATCTCTAATATCTTATATTTCCTTTAAATTTCCTCATACACAGCCTTTGCCATGAATAGACTGCTGATATGTCCACGAAGTTGGTGAATATGAGCAAATTAATTTACAAAAACAGGGTAAGTGCAGATATCTTAAAACACATGTTTACATTATGAGTTGTCTCTTAATCCACTCATAATTGGTTTAGGCACTTAACAGCATAAAACCATATCACATAAGCCTGTTCATTAGATTAGTAGAAACAGCAAATCAGATAAGTACTTAAAAATGACATCACATAAACAAAATACTACTTTAGGAAGTCATAAAGATTCAGGGAAGTTGAGGAAAATAGCCAAATATCAGAAGTAAGACACCAACCAGAAAGATCCTCTGGAGCTGTGAAATGGTTCCTGCAAATCTCACATCGGTTTGGTCATTCTTACTCTTCAATTCCAAGCAATGGGGGCAGTTCATGTATATGGGCAAACTTCTATCTAACAAGGAGGTACCATAGCCAGATTCATTGAGATTTAGAGGTTGAAGACCAGTTTCAAGATCTTTTCCTGGTGCAGCATGTACTGGATGCCTGGAAAACTGAGCTGGCCCTTCTATGTTTGAAACTCCGTCATCTGACCCCTCATTTGACTTTTCCAGATTCCTGAGCTTCCTAGAGGAAGCAGAAATCATCCCATTTGCCAGCCGGCGACCTTTGCCATGGCCACCATTCTTACCCCCTCGGGAGGGACCTACCCCCTTATGATCTATATTTTCCAAAGATGAAGGGACAGCGGATTCTACAGGCAATGCATAAGGAGAACCTAGTCTGTTGAGATGGTCTGCAGTTAATATAAAACGGTGCCCACGGGGGCACTCATGCTCAAATCCAATGTAAACTGTTGCATGTTTAGAAGACGTAACTGGTCTGGTCTTCGCAATTCTATTCATCTTCATTGAATCCAAATGTGTACCTATCTGGAAAATTTGATTACCTTTAGTGACATCATTAGAAACAATAGTGCTATCATTCTTAACTTCATGAATAGCAGGAATTAGAGCAACTTTTTCCGATACTTGTTCATCACTAATCCCATTAACCTTCTCTCTACCTCCTTCTCTCGCACTTTTTGGCTTAATAATCTTTTCTGAATTTGATATAATTTGTCTATTTGATTGTAGCGGAGGAAATCCTGAATTTGCAGCAGTTGAACCAGCTACCACCTCAGAAAAAGCTTTTCTCATATTAAAGTTGGAAACTCCTTTACCTAAATTATTTACTTTATCATCTGTTTTGATATTTCCTGCAGAAGACTTCTTTTGGATTTGATGTCCATTTTGCATACTCAAATCACCAGCCTTCTCTATGCCTGAATCTGTGTTAGGCTCATCCCTGGCATTGCTACTAAACCTATTTATATTTGCTTGCTCTGAATTGCTTGATAGTAGGTCATTCTCATATTTAGGCTTCTCGAGAAGGATAGTCCACCGTAGAAGAAACTTTTGGGTAGAACTGAAGCCACTCTGCATCAAACCTTTAGACGGCTGGTAGTATCTTGCATTCCCAACTCGGATTAAACTCCAAGATGGGGAATGAATGGGCCCACTTGTATCACTTCCTTGGGGTAACTGAACTGTGGGAAGAAGCTTGTCACAATCCATGGAACGGTTAAAAGTAACATTTGCTGTTTCAAAATCAAAAGGATCTGGCCGCAGGAGTCTTGAACGACCACATGCACATGCATGGAGGAAGACGTACCCACTGGAATGTATCTTAATCTCTTCACTTGAACATAAACCACCAGTTTCTACATCATGCCTTTGGTGCATGCATGGTTTTCCTGTGAGGCTAACAGCATCACATAGTTGCCTGCCAGAAGTCCAGATGGATGTGCATTCCTCTTCCAGTTTCTGCAAGTAGAACTGCACAGCAGGTCCCTTGACCATTGAATTGAAAGCATGCAGAGCCCTCTCCAAATGGGCCTTATGCTGAGAAGTTGGGTAGCACGGAGGCAACTCATTTAAATATGCCTCCTTAGCTACTGGAAGGGACTTTTGGCACCATAGAGTAGAAAACCTAGTATTTATCCCTCTACCACTTGCCAAATTAGACATTGCAATTTCAAGTGGATCTGAAACTTTTGAAGCATTTCCTTCAAGAGGTGGTGAAACAGAATTTCTTTGTCTCCTCTTACTAATTTCAGTCTCATCTGCAATGGCATATTTTGCTGACAGGATTGCTTGCAGAATAAGCTGACTAGAAGATAACCATTTCTCCAAATGTGGAAGTTCAGGAGAAGTAAATGTCTTTCCAGAAGCAGCAGAAGCAGCTGCTGCTGCAGCAGCAACAGCAACCATGCCAACACCAGAAGCTGGACCACTATTAGTATTCGAAACCACACCCCCTCTTCCTCTTAATATGTCAGTCTGCCTGCAGATGAACTCCTTGATAGAAAGTAAGTCTTCTCTATTTGCGCTCTGGCTATGACTTTCAAATAGAAGAGAATCTGAGGTCGCTTTTCCATTCAGAACATCTTCCACAAGGCAAGTGGCAAATTCAAGGGATTCACCTCTCTTATTAGAGGTTACATCTAAAAGTGCAACAGCCTTTGATGCATCCAGGGAAAACAGCATTGCAGAATTTGACACACCCCCACTTCTTGAACCTGTATGACCAGTTTCAGAACCTGACAGTGTCCGGCATTTCTTAATAGAGAATCGAATCTGTGCCTCCAGAGAAGACTGCAATTTCTTCCTAAACCCACCTTCAGATTTACTCATAGGGCGTGCAAGCACAACCACAGAACCAGAAACTTTCGGAGCCACGCTTGGCCGAGCCGAGGCACCAACACTTGATGATTGATTCGCCGAGGAAATATCAGCTGGCTCCTCAACACTAGAACTAGGATAATCATCAGCAAAATCATCAAGAAAAACAAAAAGTGTAACCGGAGTACACTGCCCGGGTAATAAAGAGGTATATGAACCTAAACCTGACATTAGAGTAATTGCTGAATTATTTCGGTTGAAAATGCCATGGCTTTTGACAGGCGAAGGATTGTCAGATGATCTTCCTGATGCAGCTCTACGTGATGGAGATGCAAAAGGTGAGCCAGACACAGAGAGTGGCAGAGATTGTGACTTAACATATGGAGTCATTGCTTGTTTAGCTGCTTGCAAGACGCGAAGTTTCTTCAGTATCTGGGTGTCAAAGCGTGGCCCTTCTTGAATAAATACTACAACATGGCAAACCTGCATAGCTAGGCATGGTTGAGTAGCATTCTACAATTAACAAGGGGAAGTATGAAATATGAAATGGAAAGCCTCCAAAAGAGAACTCTACATAGTACACTCCACCTCCCAAACCCATACCCAGGAGCCCAATGGTGGCCCTCCCAATTTGCTCCCTGACTAAAATCCTCAACCTTATGGTTGGAGGTGAGGGTTTTTCCCTTCCTTGTCAAATAAGAATATGAAGAATTGGACACATTAGTAAAGAAGATATCATCTCAAATTGACCACTAAGCAACAATTTTTACATGCTCATTTGCATGAGAAAGAAAAGATTCATGGAAATGATACAAAATTCTTCTACACACAGTTCTTCTATACAACTGCAAATTCAAAACCTTGCACAGTTACAAGAAGCAACCTTTCCGGAGTAAAATAAGTGAGAGTCAGATAACTCATTTGGGTTAACACTACAGGCAGCTGTGACTCAAACAACTACATCAATCCAACTCATCCACTTCTCAGTAAGCTTTATTGATGAAGTCTCTCTAGAGAAAATAAATTGTGTTTAAGCGCTTCATGCAAGGACAAACAGCCTCAGTCTTGTGCTTGTTGTTATCATTTTTTTATTTCCCAAATGAATGAAAATAGGTCCAAGTGAAGCGGAATAGATATTGATAATTCATTCAACCGACCTCAACTAATTTGAGGTTGAGGACCGATACCTTACCATCATGCCCAACCCAATGCGTGCCCATGTTTCTAATCCTGTTTTGTACTTTCAAATACTTTAGAAGCCTCATTAGTCTTTAATGTCCTCACAAATTTGTTAGAAATGTCAAGATAAAGTGAAGAAGAAGAAAACTTACAGAGAACATAAAGAGCATAGCTTGGAGATCGCTATATTCGTAGTCTTCCAACAGTGAATCAAATCCCATCTTAGACTCCAAATTGCCTTCCATCAGAGGGCATCGAGTTGAAGAGAATTGCAAAAACAAAATCCCCTTCTCCTCATCATGATGGTAGCTTATATTCCTAAACTCAAACCAGCTCTTCATATCGTCGGTTACAGCAAAATCCGTCTTTTCATCCGGTTCATTAACAAAAATTGGCTTATCTAAACCCCCGGAACCAAACACATTAGAATCAATAATCCGGTTCATCAGGTAAGCAACGTCATCGTGGCGTTTTCCAATGAAACCAACCACAACGACACCGCTTTGAGGGTTTAATGGAGAGGGGGAGGTGGCTGGTGCTTCCGATGAGGTTGATGGAAGTGGGTGGGGAGAAGGGGCAGGAGCTTGGGCGTGGCTAGGAAGTACTGGGGGAGTTTGAGAATGAGAAGGTGGAATTGGAGGTCGAATTAGGACTCGCATGGACTGAGGATTTGGTTTTGAGGAGTCCATGGAAACCGATAGCAGACAGAATCACCTGTGTACTTGGCCTATAAAATTAACAGTATCTCCATCAAACCTGAAATCGGCAACCAATGTCCTCTTGACTCTAAGTAGAAACAGCTCTATGCGTCAGTCGACGGCGGTCAGAGTTGGCGGCCGGCGGTGAGAATATTTGTTGATGATTTCCGTCAATTCGATGCGTTGAAACGTCGAAGACGAGAAAGTACGACGGGCAGCGAGTCGGAGCTAAAATTATGGACTGGGCTAAGGCTAAGGATCATACTGGGCTACACAATTCAATAGTCCAAAAAAGAAAGCCCATATCTAAAATGTTTCTGGCGGCCCGATAAAAAGTATGTTCAAAATAGGGCTACTTACGTAAATATACAGTGGACCAAAAAAGGGGAACTTTCACATATAGCCACTCAAAAATAGCTCAATTATTCTCCATAGTTATAGTTTGATAATTACAATTCATAGTTATATGTTATAGGGAGGAGAGAGGCGAGCGAGACTGGGAGAGAGAGGGGGCAAAGACTGGGAGAAAGGTGAATTGTATATGTATATAGGTTAGATAATTATATATTATACATATTTATTTGTATATATGGCAAGCGAGATTGGGAGAGGGAGGAGAGAGGTGAGCGAGATTGGGAGAGGGAGGAGAGAGGCGAGCGAGAGAGGGCAGAGAGTGGGAGAGAGGTGAATTGTATATGTATATAGGTTAGATAATTTGTATATTATACATATGCATTTGTATATATGGCAAGCGAGATTGGGAGAGGGAGGAGAGAGGCGAGCGAGAGAGGGCAGAGAGTGGGAGAGAGGTGAATTGTATATGTATATAGGTTAGATAATTGTATATTATACATATGTATTTGTATATTCTGGTGAATTATACTTATACAAACGTGACTAATTATACAAACTCGAAGTCAGCCTGCGTAACTAATGTATAATGTTAATCGTGAGTGGTAATTATAGCAAACTATAGCTATGATGAGTAATTAAGTAGTATAGGTTTGCTTAATCGCGTAAATTTCCCACCAAAAAACGACTTCTTGTATATATATGAGCTCCACTAAAGACCCAAAAAAGAAGGAAAAAGAAACTTTGCTAAACAGTTGCACTAAAGGCCCAAAATAAAAACTAAAGACCCAAAAAGAAACTTAGAAAAGCAGTTGCACCAAAAGCCCAAAAAAAAAAGAAAAAAGTCAACAACACCCAGCTTGAAATCCTTGACTGACATGTAAAATTCCAGCCAAATGATAAAAATGAAGTTAAACTAACAAAATAAAAAGGATTTAAAAAAAAAAAAAACTTAATCGGCCAGTATAGGGAGGATGGATTCATGCATGAGCGCGACGCTGGTGAACCTGAGTAAAAATGCTATGTAGGTCGGGTTAAAATTTTGCGAAATTAAACATTAACTCGCTCCGCTTCACTTGCCATCCCTAACAGCCAAAGGATAATGACATGGTATACGTTGGTTGCCTGTCAATTCATTACTATTTTTTTCAATTGATTGACTGGCTTCGTTTCTCAATTTTATTACACTGACTAGCTAGTCCAAAAAAGGGGATCAGAATATTTATTAACTTTAGACAAATATTTGTGGAGAGGACTACTTCCTCATGTGTTGCCATGTTGGATATGAATTATGAATATTGGGCTTACTTTGTAGTTTGTAGGGTATATATTGTTTTTATTTTGTGATTGAAAAAAGATGCTCGAAATCTCAAACTTTTTTTAGGTTTCTTTTAAATTTGTAGAGCTTCCATATTAAGGAAGTTAGGTGCCTCTATCTTTGAAAGCTGATTTATCATTAAGGTGTGTTCGATACAAAGGAAAATAATTGAAAGCTAATTTATCATTAAGTGACATCATTCGATAAAAGATATTTTCGTTGATGATGTAAACAAGTGTATATATAAGTTTATAAATTAAACTCATAGCACAAAATGTGGAATTGGTGAACTATATACATATATTCAGATGGACCAAGCCACTAATATAATCTGTCATTATTCTAATTTGAATTAATTATTACTACTATGTTAAGTGTTAATCAAATAGACAGTCTGTAGTCAAAAGTTAGTAGATTTATTATATTTGGTTTAAGTGGACTTTGTTGTGATAATTATAATAACAAACATAGTTTAGAACTCAGGGAATTATAAACAGGAAAAAAAAAGAATAACAAAACAACTAATTGACGAACCTTTGTTTGCATTATTATTTAAGAGAAACGCGTACTATCCTGCTATGTGAAATGAGTTTAAGTTTTATGCAATGATAGAGTACAACTTTTATATCATCATATTAAGTTAACCTATAATAACAAGTAACTCTTCATAGCAAAATCTGATATGATACGATAAAATATATATAAAAAAAAGTTAAAAAATGTATACTATTAGAATATATAACTTAAATTCTCATGAAACCAGTCTCACATATGTACATGGAAAATAATATATCCTTTGTATATATAGAGAGAGAAAAGGTGTGTATATAAGAAAGAGTAGAAGAGAGAGGGTAAAAAGGTAAAGAAGTGCACCCATTATCCAAGTGTCAACTAATTAATAGAGGATCACCCAACTATTGTTGATTGTGCCTCTACCATTGTAAAAATTTTCGAAAGAGTGTGGAGGTTGTCATTTTATATTCTTGATTGCAACTTGTAACAGAAAACCAACATGTCGTTTTGAGTAGCTCAAAAGTTTTGCAATTTCAAAAGGGGAAAAACAAATAAAATAAAGAAAATGAAAATAAAAGGACCAAGTCTTTCATATACTAAATTAGAAGTATTCTTGAAGACTATGAGTATTATGCCTTTAATAACTTTTGAAGAAATGAAAGGTTGCTACCTTATAGGCCTCCAATAAATCAAAATATGATTTGCTATCCCTAGTTTCCTATATTAATCTAGCAAGTTGCCTTCACTAGTGTGCTTCAAATGAAGCTCAAACTTCAAATTGATGTCAAATTAATGAACATTAACTCTAGTAAGTTGTACTAAGACTAAAATTTAGGTTTTACAGTAGTTTCGTATCTTTTTTATAAGAGATCTGAAAGAGTTATTTTCTTCTATTCAATTTGTAAGTGGTCATAAGAGATCATTTCCTCTACTAAGACTGATATTTTTTCAATGTATAATGCATGACATTTTCGATCTATCGATTATTAATAAATTCCAAATTTATTTAAACAATAGCATTAGGGAGAGTTACCTCCTTCCCACTCCACTCATGCCTACATTTATTTATTTAAAAAATGTTAGAGAAATAATATTACGTGCTTGACATAACCAACCTAGCTAGCTACTAGTACATTAATTTGTTACGCCAAGAATCCGCCGTCAGCAAATTTTGCTGACTTTCGGCTCCCCATTTTTAGAACTCTTCTTGCTTTTTTGTTCCTCTTTCTTTACTCTTTCTCTTCTTTCTTTTACAAGTCACTTGTCCTTTGGCCAATTATGGGAAGTCCATATAGTAAAATTCTGAGAATATTACTCGATCGAGCAAATATATGATATGTATTTATCTAAAATAGTAAGACTTATTAGTTTTATTTTGTATTCGTTCGCTCGAGTTGTATCAATTCGCTTTGTACCTGTTAATTTTTGTACATAGTGAATTGATACAAAACGAACACATACCATAGATACAAAGTGAATTGATATAGTCATACAAAACAAATCGTTACATTGTATCGTGAGCTTTTCTCAAATAAATTATATATCATTACGTTCTATAATTACCTAAATTATCATCATAATTGATAATTAAAACTCAAAGTACCGCTATTTTATAAATTTCCCCAAAAAAAGATTTCCACAATGGGCAAATAAAACGATACCAAAAAGAATTGAGTTGATCAAATACACAGAGAAAGACTAAGCTTTTTCCCCAATTATGTCAACTAATTTATGGGCCTTAACTGATTAAAGTGAGTAACTCCGGAAAGTGATATTAACTTTATAATAATATGATGGTCGTTTCAAGTATATAAATAAGAAAAAAACGGCTTATTGATAAATTTTATTTTGCTCCTCTTAATATTTAATTTTTGAAGTACTTAATGGATAATTTTGGTTTTAATCTGCAAGATATCCAATTAAGTACATTAAACTTTCCATAGTTGAAGTGATGCACTTTTCATCCTTATGCTTGCGACTCTTACCAAATTTGTCGAATTTATCAATTAATTGACTATGTATAATGTTAAGTATATATTATTTACTAAATATTTGAGGGTGATATAGTTTCAAAAACAATTTAATTCACATAATATATTTTGTACACATAAAGGGATTTAAAATATATTTTTTATTTATTGAAGGACAAATGTGTTATATTAGTCCAATATGATGGCAAGAATTAAAATTAAAATTTATTGATATTTCAAGGACTGGAAGTTCAATTTTCGCTTAAAAAGAAAAAAATGATCAAATACGATTTACACCTTTAGAGAGTTGACTTCCAGTTTGTGTAATTGTGTTATTTTCAAAGTAATAAATATTAAAATAACAAGGGTAGAAATGGCATGGGAATAAATAAAATAGAAAACACAGCTATCACTGATAGAAAGAATCATATTTTTGGATATATAAAATATGTTTGGAGGAAATGATCTGCTAAGCACATTCTTTCATTTGATTTTGACTTTTGACATTTTCTTAGGATATTTCCTCACACTTTTTTTTAAAAACAACATAAAATCATTAAAAAGATTATTATAGCTGCATTCTAAAGTACTAATTAGTTTTCAACTTTAAACAAAGAAAATTATATACATTTGATTCTCTTGAAGTATATATACAAAAAATTAATTAATGAAATGTTGATTAAAATTAAAGCAAATAATAGATCATGGACAATAGGGTAATTCAGGAGTCATTTGGCCATGAGAATTATTCACTTTTTTTCCCAATTAATATCTGGTTATAAAATTTTCAAATTACACTTGCAGTATGGCCAACCTCCTATTTATAATAGTATAAGTATTTAGTCACATGAACTTTAACCTTATTGATAAGAGTTTGATTCATAATTTTAATCTTGTAATCATTTCTACATTTCCCCTTCCCTCTTCCTCGTATGTTGTTTTTTAAAAATTTAAAAAGAAAAAAGAAAAGAACAGTAAAAATTACTCCTACTTTAAACATGATTAAAACCACCTCAACAACATGAAAATTCATTCTATCCCACTAATTGCTTGTTTGTTCCGTCTCACCAATTATATGTTCAACCTCTTTTA